TGGATACGTCAACCCCAATGTAGCTTACCTATACTCTATTTTCTAACAACCATACAAGTATTCTTATATGAGACTAAGTATCTATAAACTAAATTATCTGAAAGGAAATTATTGACGAATTACCAAATGGTAAGTTGCAATCGCACTTAATTGAAATAAACCATCTGATTGTATCAAATATTAAGGACACGTGCGTTGCCGGCCAGTTGGAGTTTGTTAGGGATTTGAAAGTTTTGGAATTGGGCATCGGTTTTTTATGACGTTTCGATATCACACACCCACTTAGTAAAGCAAGTCTAAAAAAAGTCTTTGTAAGCCATTAGAACCTCTTTTCTGTGAGAGGTAAAGCTCGCTTAGGGTGAGGTGTTAGACTCTAACTGACTAAAAACACGCCCGTTGCTCCTCCTGCTCTAGGCTGAGGCCGCGGTACCTTATTACGCTTGCCCCGCAACCGGCTGAAGCCATGAGAACCTAGTCTCAAACTCTTACTGACCAAAAACTACAACATTCCAGGTCAGGTGTTGGCAACCTTTTCCAAAACTGGCTTCTCTCGCGCGGTTTCACCCGCTTGCTCGGCTCCATTTTTTTTTTTTTTTTTTTATGTAATAGGTCGGCAAACGAGCAGACGGATTACCTGATGGTAAGCAATCAGCGCCGCCCATGGACACTCGCAACGGTGGAGTTACTAGTGCGTTGCCGACCTTTCAGGGATTAGGGATTTGGAGATATAGGGATTGAGGAGGGATTGGGGAAGGGGAAGGATTGGGCCTCCGGTAACCTCACTCACACGGCGAAACACAACGCAGTGGTTATTTCACGCCGGTTTTCTGTGAGGCCGTGGTATCACTCCGGTCGAGCCGACCCATTCGTGCCGAAGCATGGCTCTCCCACACTTCATATTTTATTTTATTATTTAATCGTAACCTGATGTTTTATATCCTATCTATCAGTGAAAGAATTTCGGCAATCCATCCAGCGGTTCCAAAGATTACCCCCTACATACAAACTTACAAATTTTACCGCTTTATAATATTAGTATAGATGAAAAACAGCATAGATTTTGTTGTATTTCTCTGGAATCTTTGAAATTGGATGAAAAAGACCTCGAAGACCTATGATTACTAAATATTATTTTATAACACTATATTGGTAAATCTTCTGCAGTTGCTGATGCATTAGATATGTAGGTATTATACAAGCTTTGAATGCTCTGCCCGTACTGCGCAGGACCTGTGCACTGATGCCGATCAATATTTCGATGTGTAATTTCTATTCCTTGAAAATTTATAGGAGTTTATACACACGGGGATTTTAAATCCCATTGTACCGTTTTTTGTGAGGGGAATATTACATCAAATGACTTCTCTTGGTTTCGCGATCGGTTTGATGGCGAGAGGGAGTGTCACACTCTTACTGACTAAAAACTCCCCTTTCTTTTTCCCTTATTGCTCTAGCCCCGCAACCCCGGCTAAACATCGGCCCTGTAGGGCCCCGCCTATGATGGTCTATAAGGTCTTTGAGGCGCGCGCGAAATGCTACGCGCCTAACGTTGTGTTCTGGTTCAGGTGGGGCTGCGAGCTATACTTGCTCGCCGACAGCAGACTCGGGCTTACTGTTGCCGGAGATCGTCGCTCGATCCCCGATGCCCGGAATGTCGCCTGCTGTGGCGGCTGGTTCTGGCTGATAGTTCCCTCACGCTCCGCCTCCTTCTTTGCCAGCATGATTATTTCACAGAAAGAGGAGACGGCTTCCCAGTTCCTGTCGTTCCGCACCATGGACTCGACTAAGGCCAGGTGCGAGAGGTTGCCACCGCCGATAATTTCCCTGAGGACACGACGGTGTTCAGCCCCAGCTGCCCTGCTCGGTAAGCACCTCCGTCAGGCGGAAGGCGAGGACGCCGCGGCGTCTCTCAACATCATCATCATCATCAGTCCATAAGTGCCCACTGGTGAGGCCTCTTCTCACACGGAGAAGGTTAGAACATTAATCACCACGCTTGCTCAATGCGGGTTGGCGATTTCAAACTTATAATTAGAAATTATAAGTACAGGTTTCCTCACGATGTTTACCTTCACCGTATGGCAGTGGTGTCTAAATAATCATAGAAAGTACATATAACTCGGAAAAAGTCACATTGGTACTTGACAGGTTTGAACCCACACCCTTATGCATGAGAAGTAGGCTCCTTAACCTCCGGGCCACCACGACACACACGGCGTCTCTCAAGGTAGGTACTCCCCAAAGAGGGGTCTTACAGCTGCTGAAACAGCGTGGGCGGGGCCCGGTGTGAATTTGCGAGTCTTCACCTGCCAATTTTAAGTGTATCAAATTACATTCTTTGGGCAGGTGCCATAGTCGTTCGATTTTTCATAATTTATATCATTTTTGTTGTATTTTTTTTTATGAAATAAGCCGGCTAACGAGCATACGGATAACCTGATGTTAAGTAATCGGCGCCGCCCATGGACACCCGCAACACCAAAGGTGTTACGAGTACGTTGCCGGCCTTTTGGGGATAAGCGTAAATATCTGCAATATTACAGGTTTGGGAAGGGATACGGGTCTGGCCTTAGGTAACCTCATACGGCGACACAACACAACGCTGTGGTTTTTTCACGCCCGTATTCTGTAAGGCCGTGGTATCACTGCGGTCGAGCTGACCTTCATTGGTGCCAAATCTTGGCTCTCCAACACTTATATATATCTTAGGTGCTTTGACAGGTCCAGTCCCAAGTCAGTAAAGTTACCTATATTAATATCTTTCTCTTTCTAAAATTAAAGTTGTATAAAGGGCCTTCAAGCGGTTGACTTCGATCCGTCTCGTACGCCTCTCAAACGATCGGGATCCTGTGGATTCATGATTGGATACCTTCTTAAAAATATTGTATGATCAGAAATTTTACTCATAGATATGTGTCTTTTAAAATGTGATTTATCATCATCATCATCAGCCCATAAGTCTTTACTGCGTGCTTCGTAAAACTAGTTTTAGGTACTAAAGTATTTAGCCATGATATTGAAATAAAATGCAGAATCTGTAGGTTGCATTCGGTACAAGAAGTTCATAAAATACGATAACAGATGGCGCTGTTGTTACAACGCAACTATTTCGAAATTTAAACAGAGGGCATGGGCGTTTTCTTATTATAATACGCCCATGGTAGAGGATAAAGGTTACTGTAGGCCCACGTGCCGGTTGCGTGAATCTTCCGGGAGAGAAAGAGGGATGGAGCTATAAAAGGTGTATAGCCATATAGATATAGAAGGCCCTCTGAACTATAAAATGTCAGTAAAAAAAAAAACAAATCAAAACGTCTGTCGCAATCCAGGGTCGGGAACGCTGTTATTGTTTTTAATTTTAATCGCATAGGGCGGTAAAGAAGCAAACTGATTACCCGATAATACATGTGCACTCGTAAAACCAAACGAGTCGCTACAAGTGCGTTGCCGGCAGTTTTTGGGCTATTATTAAGGATTTCAGGATTGAGCATGGGGCCCTCCCCGCCCCTTCGGCGGGACGAAACGCAACGTAAGTGTTGCTTCACGCTGGTTTTCTGTGAGGCCGTGGTATCACTCTGATCGAGCTGGTCCATTCGTGCCGAAGCATGGCTCTCCCACACTTTATGTTATAGTAGCGGTAAGACCCCTTAGTAGCGGCACAATGTCACAATGGTGATAGTTTTAAAGAACTATTTAGTACAAAAATAAAACAATTTCAAAATAGATATAAATTCCAGTCATTTTATTAAAATAACTTATTAGCTAGATTTACAAGTTGCTTTACAAAAATATTGCAACGGTCTATCGGTTTAGATGGTTACCTAAAGGTAAAAAATCTTGGTGTCTTTTTATATTAAAGAGCTCGTATAAAATACATACAAAGATTTTTTTAATTTAGTTTATTAGCCAACATCGTGTTAAAAGTGTAAAGCAAATGTATTTTTTTTTCAGTTTTTAAGTTTTCAATAAATAGTGCTAATTATAAGAAAAAAAACATCGCGAGTCTAATTCTTTGGAGATAAGTAACAAATTGATTCGTTTTTGGCGGAATGTAACACGAGGGCGATGACTTCGGGCAAATATGTAGTTCCTAGGTAACAAATTGGCTAGTTTCCTAGGTCAAAAATAAATTAATTCGACAATTCAATACAATAAAATATTGAAAAATAACTTAACTTTCATTCATCGATCTACACACTACATTTTCGATATTTTTTAGCTAACTTTTGAGAAATAAGTAAGTTCTTTGACGTAAAAATACTATGACGTCATAACTCAGTGCTTCATACAAATTTCATAGAAAAGTATAGTTTTTGACATTTGGATAAAAGTATTGAATTTGACTAGTTGGAAACTACCGTATTATCTGAACCGATAGACTACAGAATGATATTCTTGAATCAAGATGCACACGCAACGCAACGCAACTCACAAGTGACTTAAGATTCAGTTTTCACTATTTTTCACATTGTCTGGACTTGAAAAGAGACAGAGTAGTCAGAGTAGTCAGGTAGGAAATGCCGGCTTCATCTTTTATTTTAGTATACAATACTTAAGTATATAAGTGCTATGTTATGGCCTATGTACAAAAATAAATTCATTGTTTTATTGTTTAAGGGAAAAATGCTTCTTGCTTATCCTCAGGTATCGCGAACTCTGGAATGAGGGGGCTACCGTTTCTTAGCTACCTAGACGGCGGTAATGTAGCGTGAGGTCTGTAGTCTAGCGGTTTACATAAGGGTCTACCCATAAAGGACTTCACACATAAAGCGGGGTGGGGGGTGGGGGGGGGGGGTCAACAAAGTGTGGCACTGGCAAGGGTGGGGAATCTTGAAAAATCATGAAATTCATGTGACGTAATTTATCGATGGCCCCTAATTAACTAAATACATATAAACATTATCAACTAAACGTTGTCTAAAATTGTTTACAAACAGATATTTACCTACATCGATATAAAGTCATAAAGCTAATTTAAATAATCTTTGTATATATTTTATACGATCTCTTTAATATAAAGAGACATAATCAATTTTTAACCTAGGAAACTGCCAAATTCAATTTAGACATCTACAATGAGTATAGATAGACCATACGCTACATTAGCGCCATCTAGTATGTAACTTAAACTCCGAAAGGTACAGTTTTGGTCGCTAGATGGAGTTAAACTTAAATGTATGGGTCCTGTCACGAAGCCAACTTGCTGATATCTTCATATTGAACTCCTTTCACAACGCGACCAGTTAAAGGTCCTTCTGAAATCTGAAAAAAAAAAACAAATTATAATTAAAAATGAACAATTTTAGTGCTACTATTGTGCGACATCACTACATAGTATAAAACAGAGTCGCTTTCTCTGTCCCTATATCCCTATGTACGCTTAAATCTTTAAAATTACATAACGGATTTTGATGCGTATTTTTCTATAGATACAGTGATTGAAGAGAAAGGTTTATGTGTATAATAACATCCATTAAATAGTGGAGAACTTTAGTATCCGCACCAATACAAGCAAGGGCGGGTCGCGAGTCAATAGTGAAACATGTAGTGTGTGAGAGTCATGCTTCGGCACGAATGGGTCGGCTCGACCGGAGTGATACCACGGCCCCACAGAAAGCCGACGTTAAACAACCACAGCGTTGTGTTTCATCGTATGAGTGAGGTTACCGGAGGCCCTATCTCTCCCACCATCCCTTCCCAATTCCTAAATATCCACAACCCTTATCCTCAAAAGGCCGACAACGCTCTAGAACTCCTTTGGTGTTGCGAGTGTCTATGGGCGGCGCTGATTGCTTACCATCAGGTAATCCGTCTACACGTTTGCCGACCTATACAGTTCCACATATTTGGTACAGACATAGTTTGAAACTCGAGAAAAGACATAGGATAGTTTTTATACCAAAAATTAGCAGGAAGTGACTATTCCACGCGAACAAAGTCGCGGGCAAAAGCTAGAATTTAATAACAACATCAGGTAATCCGCCAGCTCGTTTGCCGACATATTACATAAAAAAAAAATTGATACGAACCTCGACATCACAACAATAATTGTCTATATCAATATCCCTAAGTTGTCCGGTGCAGCCCCTGTATGCGCCATTCACGAAACGGACGGACCGGCCCTTTGACGGTATAACTGTTTCTAGATGATTCTGTAACAATATAAAAATAATAATAATAATTTTTGCCAATGGTCTCATGGCGAAAAGCCTTGATAAACACCTAAGCAGGCTTACGTTAGATGGTTGGGTCAAGAATCTGATGCAGAAACCTGTACTTCTAGACTCGGCGCGCATTGTCCGGAGATTCCTTTCCTGGAGTGACCACCGGTTGCTTGGAACCCTCCCGTAACCGGTGGGATACTGCTTTTTATATTTTTAAGTGCTTTTCATTTTTTTTTGCTTTGTGAAAATATTTAAAAATGTAAAAATCAAGTTTTAAAATAAATCAAATGTTAAAATAATAATTTTATCATCGTCAACCTATAAGTGGCCACTGCTGAGTAAGGGCCTATTCTCACACGGAGAAGGTGCCGAGCATTAATCACCACGCTTGCCTTAGAAAATACATTTATTAAACAACTAGCCACTCCCGCGCGGTTTCACTTGCTGCCCGGCTCCTTTCAATCGTAGCGTGATGTTTTATAGCCTATAGCTCTCAGGGACATTGTAGCTATCTACCAGTGAAAGAATTTTGGCAATCCGACCAGCGGTTCCAAAGATTACCCCCTACATACAAACTTACAAATTGTACCTCTTTGTAATATTAGTGTAGCTCTCTTTAGACGGGGATCGATGATATTTTAAATTAAAACCGCTCAGATACCTTTTATCATATTCCTCATTCACTCCATCCCGCTCACACACTCCGTCGAGCGCCATGGCACTCAGTCTTTTCATCCCACTCGTCATTAATTCCCACATTAGTATAGAAAAACCTTTTTTTGAGGGGTAAATCATGTGGCTCCTCCCGCCGAGAGAGAGTGTCAGACGCTTACTGACTAAAAACCCCCCCGTTCATTCTCCTGCTCCAGGCCGAGGCCAAAGTACTTTGATCTGATGGCTATATGATGGCGAGCCTCCCAGTCACACCCTCAAAGTCAAATAATTTATTTGTAATAGACCACTATAAACACTATTGGACATTAAACAAAAAAATTGAAAAACTTTAACTTTGTCTGTCCTCTGAAGTGAAGCTATTTGCTCGTTCCAAAGTGTAGTATACTAATGGAGAAGAACGAGCAACAAACTCCATGGTGTGAGCAAATATCTTCACTAGAGGACATACGGACAGACTGACATGTATAAAGTTAAACCTTCTAATATTTTTTGTCCCTTGACCTTAATTATTCCTGTTGTGATCTTTTTGAAGTAAATGATTTGATTATCGAGATAAAATTTGTAAGTTTGTATGTAGGGGTAATCTTTAGAACCAATACAATAGTTTCCAACTAGTCAAATTCAATACTTTTATCCAAATGTCAAAAACTACACATATCTATGAAATTTGTATGAAACGCTGAGTTATGACGTCATAGTATTCTAGCGTCAAATAGCTTACTTATTTCTAAATAATTAGCTAAAAAATATCTAAAACTTAGTGTATCGATCGATCAACCAATAAAAGTATAGTTATTTTTCAATATTTTATTGTATTCAAACAACGAATTTATTTATTTTTGACCTAGGAAACTACCCCACTCTTTTACTGATAGATAGCTTTAATGTTCCTGAGTGCTATCCTAACTAATATTATAAATGCGAAAGTAACTCTGTCTGTCTGTCTGTCTGTCTGTCTGTCTGTCTGTCTTTTCTTCACGCCTAAACTACTGAGCCGATTTCTGTGAAATTTGGTACAGACATAGTTTGGAACTCGAGAAAGGACATAGGATAGTTTTTATTCCAAAAATCTGCAGGAAGTAACTTTTCTACGTGAACAAAGTCGCGGGCAAAAGCTAGTAGGCTATAAATTATACTTGATTTGCGTATTATAGACGAACTATAGCTTTAAACGCTGTTTTTTAAAAAAATCCAGTGACATATTACTATTATACGAATGCAAAGTTGCGGGAGGACGCTAGTAATACCATAAGCTGTTAAAAAAACAAACTTTTACCTGATCCAATTTAATCCTAGTCGTTTCATCGGTAAGTTTAACGTGAGCGCAGTACTTGTCAACGACTTTCTCAACAACAGCTTTCTTCTTATAGAACTTATCGCCTAGAGATTTAGTAGTTATCTTCACCACGATCCCTTCGCAGAGCCAGTAGTCCTTTCTGTAATGAGAAAAATATATTAGGGGTCATCCTTAAAGTACTTCACACGTAAAGGGGGGGGTGGGAGGGACCGACATAGTGTGACAAGATGTAATAAGAGCCGGCGTGAAACAACCACAGCGTTGTGTTTCGCCGTGTGAGTGAGGTTACCGGAGGCAAAATCCTTCCCCTCCCCAATCCCTAAATCTCCCAAATCCCTAACCCCCAAAAAGGTCAGCAAAGCACTCGTAACTCCTCTGTTGTTGCGGGTGTCCATGGGCGGCGCCGATTGCTTACCATCAGGTATTCCATCCGGTAATTTGCCGTCCAATCACACAAAAAAAATTGCAGTTATTATGATGAAAAAGGACAGTATCATCTCACCTATTAGCTCTCTCTTTCGCACGTTCCTGCATCTGTATAATCTCATCGAGCGCAGACTGCTTGATTTTATTATCTTCTATCTTCTGCTTCTTAGAACTTTCTTCTTTGATCTTCTCTTTTAATTTCAGAGCTGAAACTGGTAGCGGTTCCGCTTTCTTTTCTGTAAAGATAAAGATATAATAATATGTTGAGTATTACAAGTAGACTTATTTTTTCATCATCAGCCTATAAGTGCCCACTGCTGAGCAAAGGCCTCTTCTTATACGGAGAAGGTTTGAGCATTAACCATCACGCTTGCTAAAGTGTGGGAGAGCCATGCTTCGGCACGAATGGGTCGGCTCGACCGGAGTGATACCACGGCGTCACAGAAAACTGGCGTGAAACAACCACAGCGTTGTGTTTCGCCGTGTGAGTGACGTAATCTATACTAATATTATAAAGCTGTAGAGTTTGTTTGTATGAACGCGCTTATCTCAGGAATTACTGGTTCGATTTGAATGATTATTTTTGTGATTAATAGACCATTCACTGAGGAAGGCTTTAAGGCTATAAGTTTTATTTATTGCCCCACAAGGAGAAAATACTAGATTTTCTCCTGTGTGGTGGGTGCGTTTACACATTTTTTTTTAGTTTATACAATTTCACATACACATCACACTCAGACCCGAAACAACAATTTGTGGATCACACAAGGAGTTGTTCCGTGCGGGAATCGAATCTGCGACATGTTGCGCGGCAGCCAGTTGCTAAGCTACCGCACCAACCGTGCAGTAAAATATCAAGCTACCATCTATAGAAGCCGAGCAGCGGGTGAAACCGCGGGACAGTAGCTAGTTTTTAAGAATTACCATAAAACTCACCTTCAGCCTTTCTCTTCAAACTAAGAACAACCTTCTCCTGGCTGCTTTCTCTCTTGAACTCAGAATACGTTGGGCCGTCAGCGGAGCCCTGCTTCTTACCGCGTTCCACTTGCTTCTGTATGAATTCTAACATCCTTTCCTACAAGAAAAGGTCTAAGCTTAAACACGAATAGCACAAATAATAAATAAACAAACATTGTGCAGATTTGAGTGTGGATGAGCCCAAGCTTCAGCTTGGCTTGTTTCTTCATCATCAGCCTATAAGTGCCCACTGCTGAGCAATAGCCTCTTCTCACACGCAGAAGGATTAAGCATTGAATCACCACGCTTGCTAAAGTGTGTGAGAGCCATGCTTCGGCACGAATAGGTCGGCTCGGCCGGAGTGATACCACGGCTTGAAAGAAAACCGGTGTGTTGTGTTTCGCTGTGTGAGTGAAGTTACCGGAGACCAAAACTTTCTTCTCCCCCTATCCCTCCACAATTCTTAAATCTCTAAAACCCTAAACTCCAAAAGGCCGACATCGCACTCGTAACTCCTATGCCATGGGCAGAGCCGATTGCTTACCATCAGATAATTGACACGTTAATCGTATGCTTAATAGAAAAGAGACTTAAGTCCAAAAGGAAGATATTAGAATCTAAGCAATTATTTTTCAATGTATTATTGAAATATCCTAATAATTTACTTTTTGTTTGGTTCAGTTTTGAAATACCCTCATTTATGTGTCACTTCTGTTACAATACGGTAGTTTCCAACTAGTCAAATTCAATACTTTTATTCAAATGTCGAAAACGATACTTTTTTATGAAATTTGTATGAAAAACTGAGTTATGACGTCATTGTATTTTTGCATCAAAAGCGTTACTTTTTTCTTAAAAATTTGCAAAAAAATATTTAAAACTTAGTGTATCGTTAGATCGATGAATAAAAGTTTAGTTATTTTTCAATATTTTATTGTATTGAAATGTCAAATTAATTTATTTTTGACCTAGGAAACTACCTAATTAAAAAGGGCAGCTTGTTTGCCGCCAAACATGGAAAAAAAAATACCTGATCATCCTTATCCATCTTCTCTTTCTTAGCTTTAGCTTCAAGAGCAGCTATTGCAGCAGGATCTCTATCTATGTAGGCTACAAACCATCCCTTCTCTGTCTCATCGACCACACATTTCCCTTCACGACCCAACCATTTCACAAACTCTGTGAGGGTCTCCCATTGTGTTGCGTTCATGTGAAGATGGTCTCTGAAATAAATAAATTAGTTTTAATGGAATTGTGTAAAAACCAACACTGAACAAGGTGTGTGTAGGTAGGCAAGCTCATTCATAAGTCACATCACCGCTTAACACCAAAGAAAAAAAAAGGTTGTTACTCATTCCACATAAAAACTTGTGAAATTATCAAAGCCTATTGGGTACAATGATGACACAGTCTAGACTAACAAATAGGCTACTTTTGTTTTGCTGGCAAAGAGGTTGACAGAAGCTAATAATATTGTAAATGCAAAGGTTTATAACAGTGGTTGGATGTTTCTTACTCTTTCAATTAAAAACTACTGCAAGGATTTTAATAATATTTATTTTATTTTAAGGAAAAACAAACAGTAACATAATTCAACTTATATAATAATATATTACACTTGGCAAATATGTTACCCACTACGTTTTCTACCGATTACTTTTAATATGCTTTGGTACAGAGATAAATAGAGGATTTAGAATAACACTTAGCCTACATTTTTGACAATTACAAAAAATTGAAAATGTGCTCCCAATGGGCTAGGAAAATCACCAGAGGTGGTCTATAAACAGCTGCGGATGTCTGTGGCCTAGAGATGATTAAGAATTAGTTGAAACGAGACATTTGCTGGTTATAATGTTTATTTGTCACAAATTTAACATTACATGCATATTGGACTTAATAACGAAGCAATTTTATTAACTACAAAGGGTACTGGTACTAATCCCCAAACTAGGCTAAAGCCTGTTAAAGTTGATGAATGAATGTTCATTATGTGGTGTTTTACCTAATACAGACTACATAGACAGTGATATTCTGAAACTATACTCCTTTAAAGGTTTTGGAACAAGGTTTAATCAAGAAACAAAAGTTTACCTGTGAGAAATGTACTCCTGGTAGACTTTATTGGCATTGACTCTTTTAGTACCAAACTGACGATGAAGGAGTTCCAAATATCCATCAGCGAACTCCTTGGAGAACTCGTCTATGTATTTATTGGCGTTATCAGCAAATAGTAGAAGCTGCCTTTGGTGCGATTCAGACATGGTATGACATTTGAATCCGTTTTCGTCTCGGCATTGTTTCTGACACATTTGGCAGTACCATCGCAATTTCTGCAAGCCCTTAGCCTTTATCTTGTTCGCAATGTACTTTGGAGTACCCTTTTCAGCCTTTCCACCCATGTTTTTTGCAAATTTTCGAGGTTACCCAATGAAAAGTTTTAAGGATTTACGTCCCAGAAATGGAGAGTTAACACAACATTATCTTAAAATTTCAACGTTTCCGAAGTTAAATTCACAGCATTTAATATTATTTTGTAAAAGTAACACTACTTTGAGCACAAAATATTTACGTAAACTGCGAGTAAACAACACGACAAACTTCATTCATGCGAGCACAGACAATAAAAAAATGCCGTTCCAAATCATTAAGAACCGCTCTGCGTTCCGGTTTATCTAATTTACTATTTGAATTTTTTTTTAAAACGCTATATTATTGGACATATTAGTAAAAAAAATCACTAAATAGAACATCAAGTTTCTAAATTATGCTTTTAAAATGATTTAATAAAGATTTATTAAAGTAAAAAAATATCAATATTTACGAATACCAAAAAGTTTCCAAATGAAATAAACAAGCATGCGAAAAATTGCCACAAAACTTGTCAACTAATGACACTCAATGAAAAAAAAAATGGCGCCATTTCCGAAATAAATTATGAAACTGTGATTGTGATTTTAACTTTCTCCCATTTTCCCATAGATATAGATAATATTTAAGTGTACCGTACAAAAAGTTTGAAACATAACAAAATTATGAGTGTACTTCGGTATTTTAAAATCCTCACGTACGTCTAATACGCAACATTCAAAATCAAAAATGAATATTTTGTACACATCTCAGAAGTTACAGGAGTTATTTTGTGATGTGAGTTTTACGTATTTTATAGAACCTTTGTCCTTTTATAAAAAAAAAAAAAACGTTGCCCCACACTACGATTTTCTCCTATGTCATAACCTCAGTCATGACAGCGTTTACAAATATACAAATTCACATACACAACACACCCAGACCCGAAACAACAATTTGTGGAAACCGAACCCGAGACACGTTGCACTGTAGCCTGTTGTCCAGCCACTGCGCCAAATATGCAGTCATCATACGGTCGACTTCATCATAGGATGACGATGGAGTACCGTTTATTCAACCCTTTTCTACCCGGCGTTCGTTGAAGCAATAGTGAAGGGGCAACGCCTACTGATTTTGGACCTTTAAAGATTTATTCCGTCAGAGAAGCGTCAAAATTATCACCCTCATTTAAAGAGCATGTCTATAGGTCAACACTAAACTAATTGAATCTAACTTCCAACCAACTTTTAGAACAGTCAGTGTTCTAACTATTGAAAGAAGAAAAAAGAAAGAAAGAAACATAATTTATTATTTTAAAACATTCGCGTTTCATACTTACAACAAATAATTACGCGAGTATTAACGCGAAAATTCATTCTGCTTGCGACCACAACCTGTGCAACCAGGTCGAAACGTCAAGCCTAACGAGGTTTTTAAATAATACCCGCGTAATTATCTATTATACGACCCGTACGACCAGCACCCGACGTAGCTATTATATATATAAAAGAAAGTTGTGTTAGTTACACCACTTATAACTCAAGAACGACTGAACCGATTTAGCTGAAAATTGACAGGGAGGGAGGTAGTTTAGAGCCAGGAGAAGGACAGGATAGAGTAGGTTAGGTAGAGTAGGTTAGGTAGAGTAGGGTAGGTAGAGTAGGGTAGGTATAGTAGGGTAGGTAGAGTAGGGTAGGAAGAGTAGGGTAGGTAGAGTAGGGTAGGTAGAGTAGGGTAGGTGGAGTAGGGTAGGTAGAGTAGGGTAGGTAGAGTAGGGTAGGTAGAGTAGGGTAGGAAGAGTAGGGTAGGTAGAGTAGGGTAGGTAGAGTAGGGTAGGTGGAGTAGGGTAGGTATAGTAGGGTAAGTAAAGTAGGGTAGGTAGGGTAAGTAGAGTAGGGTAGGTACAGTAGGGTAGGTAGTCAAATGACGGGAGCGACGCCGCGGGTAAGAGCTAGTATGTTAATAAGGCAGGGTTCTGTGTAGTCAGTCTGACAAATGCCCACCCAGCATCCAAAGCGAGGTTATCATTTGGTGGTTCCCCCTCCCCCTTCAAATAAAAGATAATCGCCAATTTTTCTCCAGGATCACCTGCCAGTCCACGCGAACGCATCAGGGGATGGAGATGGTGTTCCAGGGCGCTGCTGTCGACTTTGCGGAGGCGATACCAATCTCCGATACTTCGGGGACACGTACGTTTGGGAGGGAGTTGAAGAGAGATATGATAAGCTCTTGTTTGACTGCTTCGGTGTGAAGGTAAGAAAAGAGATGTGGTGCCGTATTTTCGCGCTTCCTGAAGTAGTCGAAGACGAAAGGTGGTGAAGACTGCAATTTTTTTTACGTGATAGATCGACAAACGAGCAGACTGATAACTTGATGGTAAGCAATCAGCGCAGGAGTTACGAGTGTGTTGCCGACCGTTTGAGGATTTGGAGATTATCATCATCATCAAAAAACAGGGCCTCCGATTTGTGCAATGCCACCTCTAAGCCCAGCCTTCGCATCTTACCCACGACGTGCGCGACACCATCAGTTGCGCATATGGCCGCCTGCCGGTACGACCGACTAGCGTATCGTCGGCGTAACAATGACGCCGACGCCATGGAGTAGCGCACCGCGGAGAGCCCAGTCGTAGCCAACTTTCCACAAGAGCGGACCCAACACCGAACCCTGCGGAACGCCGCACGACGTCTCTCACCGGCGCCTCTCTCTCTGGTTGTTGATTATGAATGTGAATAAATATAAGTTTTTTTTTAATATTCCAGGTGACTCCGTCGGATTGTATGATCTGTGAGTGGTGTGTGCGTACGTTGCGTAATACGGAACGGTTTCGTGCACTCGTGCATGCAGCTTTCGACCATCCTCCTAGCGATTGTATGTTCATTTCTCTTATTTGATCTATTTCTACTCTGTTCTTGTTTTATATAGAGGAAACTTAGGCAATTTTATGGGGCCTGGCAAGCTCGTGTTAGAATGTCTTATGGAGTTTTTTTTTATAACTAGCAGCCCGCCCCCGCTTCGCACGGGTCTAACTACCTCGCTATCAAAGGGTCACTTTTTCCTAATCTTCCCCTCTACTTTTCTAATATTTTCTTGAATAAGAACCTTCTCCTGACAGTTACAAACACAACAAAAAAAGAATTAGCAGAATTGGTCCAGGCGTTGTTGAGTTATGCGCTTACCAACACATTTTGCGATCCATTTTTATATATAAGATTATGGTAAGGGTGGATTTTTCTACCAGGCTAGTAGACAATAGGGCCCAATCACTACATAGTATTAAATAACAAAATTGTTTTCTGTCTCAATGCAACGGATTCTGATGTCAGTTTTTGGATGAATAGAGTGATTGAAGAGTCAGGTTGATATGTAGAATAACATCCATTAATTAGTGGAGAATTATAGTATCAGCAGTTACCAGCACTTCATGCGTGTGATGCAGGGCTGGGTTGCTAATATATCTATTTTGATGAATGAGTAGGCTTTCGTAGGTAGGTGAAATTATAATAGTTGTTTGGTAAAGATTCCATAAAACAGCACTTTCAAACGTCAACTTGATAATCAAACTAATTTATGAAACCTTACATATCCTATCTGACTACTCTGAAAAAATGCTGAAGACAGAATCAAAATTATTTATTAGATGTCTGTTCGTCAATGAAGCTAGGCGTTCGTTCCAGAATGTAGATTCGAATGGAGAAGAACGAGCAAAAAACTCCATGGTTACACTTTTTTTTAAAACACATTGGAAGATATCTTGTTTCGTTACAGCATCGTCGAGTGCTACGACATTGAAATCTATTAGTAACTGCACTAAAACTGTTGCTAAATCAACGGTGAAACAAGAAAAAGATCAGCAGCAGCAGCAGATTAAACCTAAATGTGACGTGAGCAAAAGACGAGAGGTCAAAAAGAGGTTATTTGCGAACGACGTGAAAACTAAAAGGATCAATATCCCATGTGACGTTTGTAAGCAAAGGTATGTATTGTATTCTGCCAAAGTTTTTAAACTAGTTCAATAGATGTCGCTGTTTTGTAGCATCTCCGCCGAAGGGCCGCAAATGAAACTGTCTGTTTTGTAATATGCAAGTGCGTTATCGGTCTTTTGGGGATAAGGGGTATTGGGAAATGATGGATTCAGAGGGCTGAGGGAAGGGGAAGGGTTGGGCCTCCGCTTACCTCACTCTTAAGCTGAAACAACTTTGTGGTTTCTTTACGCCAGTTTTCAGTGACGTCATTCAGACATCGAGTTTTTTTAATTATCTTTTGTTTTGGTTTCTGTGCTACTAGTAGCATCCAAAAACAAAATAAACTCCCAAGGGAATTGAATGCAAGACGTCCAATTCCATAGTCGTCCACACAATTTAGGAGACATTACAATCCAATTGTGAGAAAGCCAAGTTTCGGCATGAATGGGACGGCTCGACCGGAATTATACCACGGTCTCACAGAAAACCGGCGTAAAACAAACACAGCTCGCCCTATCCCTACCTAATCCTTAAATATCCGATAATCCCTAAATAGCCTGCAACGCACTCGCACGCCAAAGGAGTTGGGAGTTGCGGGGGTGTTCATGGCCGGCACCATTTGCTTACCATCAGGTAATCCGTCAGCTCGTTTGCCAACATATTCTATATAAAGGGGGCCCATGCGATACCACGGCCTCGCAGAATACCGGCGTGACCATCTTCAATCCTCAAATCCCCTATTTATAAATCCTGAATAACCTACAAGACGGTAACGCACTTGTAGTAACTCCTTTAAGAGTCCGTGGCCGGCACCGATTGCTTACCATCAGGAAATCAGTCAGCTCATTTCTGAACTATGCCAATAAATACTCAAGTATTCTTCTCAGGTACCCAATGTTGATGTCAAGCGACGCCACGAAATCGTTCGTCTGTTCTCGCTGTAAGAAGAATGGTGAGACGAAAGGAGGGGCTTTATGCAGGAGATGTAATATAATGATGCCTTCAAATATGCTTAAGGAGCATTTAGATTTGCACGCTAAAGCAGAACTGAGGGGGAAAGTCAGGTTGGTATATTTTTTGACACCAGTGTTTTTTTTTGTGAGGGGAATATCATCAAATGACTTCTCCCGCCCAGAGCCGGGAGGGAGTGTCAGCCTCTTACTGACTAAAAACCCCCCTGTTCCTTCTCCTGCTCTGGGCCGAGGTCGCGGTGCCTCATTGCGCTTCCCCCGCAACCCCGGCTGATTTGATACCAGTATATAGGTATGTTTTGACGTGGTGGTCTGAAGGTTAAGATGCCCGTATCTTATGCATGAGGGAGGGGGTGGACCTAGTCCGTTCCAATGTAACATTTTTCGAGTTTATGTATTGACTTTCTAAAATTATTGATAAAACGGTGTAGGAAAACATCGTGAGGAAACATGAACTTATAATTTCTAATTCTAAGTTTGAATCGCTAACTTCAGCAAGCCATAACACACTTTCGCAGACTGACCGACAGACTGCCAATTTTAAGGCACTTGTAAGAGTCTTAACCCGGTTTCCGAAAGACCGCTCAATGTTAAAATCAATTTAATCTCTTCTCAAGTCGTCTGATTGGTTGACTGAATTATCAACAACCAATCAGATGCCTTGACAAGAGATTTAATAGGAGATTAGTTAATTAAAAAAAAAAAGACCAGAATCCATGAAGAAATATTATGTCACAACATCCCACTGGTATTACGTGAGAGATTCATGCCTCGTGTTACATAAAACAGCTTCTGCCATTTTCCTTCCCATTTTAGACTGCAGCAAGCCAAAAAATCAACAGTTTCATCTGTGAATAGTTCTACAAAGCAGAGACCTCAGAAGTTCCAATGCACCCGTTGTCCAAAGAAGTACGCAATGGCAAAAAATTTGGTGCTTCATGTGCGGAACGCTCACGGCGATAGTCTTGATACTTTGGGCCCTGGTAAGTTTTGAAGGAAAATTGATTTGGAATCGTCGTGACTCTTCCGTCGGTGTCCTGCCTCGTAACTGGAGGAAGAACGGAGTGGTCAGGTGGTTAGTCAGTAAGATTTTTTGAGCGGAAACCACGTCTAGGCAAATATAGTGTAAGGCGCCCTTCAGCTAGGTGGGCTGACGATATCCGCAGGGTGGCTGGCAGTGGTTGGAATCGAAGAGCTGAACATCGAGCTCAGTGGCGTGCAATCTAGGAGGCCTATGTCCAGCAGTGGACGAAATCAGGCTGATGATGATGATGAAGATTTTTTGAGGAAGGAAAATCATCAAATGTGGGAGAGCCATGCTTCAGCACGAATGGGTCGGCTCGACCGGAGTGATACCACGGCCTCACAGAAAACCGCCGTGAAACAACCACAGCGTTGTGTTTCGTCGTGTGAGTGAGGTTACCGAAGGCTCAATCCCTCCTCAATCCCTAAATCTTCAAATCCCTAATCCCTAAAAGGTCGGCAACGCACTCGTAACTCCTCCGTTGCGGGTGTCCATGGGCGGCGCTGATTGCTTACTTAGGTAATCCGTCTGCACGTTTGCCGACTTACTACATAAAAAAAATCAAATGTTTTCTCGCCCAGGGTAAGGCAAAAGTGTCAGCCGCCTATGGTGAGGCGAGAGTGTCAGACTCTTACTGACTAAAAACCATCCTGTTCTTTCTGCTGCTCAAGGCTGGGACCGTGGTTACTTATTGATCCGCAAGCCCGGCTGAGCATCACCTTGTTGGGCCCCGTATGTTGTGATCTATTGCATCTTTTAGGCGCACGCGGAACGCAATGGGTCTTACGATCTAGTCAGGTTCTCGCCTTACGCAAACCCGCGAGTATCATATAACCGAGACTAACACCCGGTTTCCGAAAGGCCGATCAATGTTAAAATCAATTTAATCTCTTGTCAAGTCATCTGATTGGTTGACTGAATTATCAACAACCAATCAGATGACTTGACAAGAGATTTAACAGGAGATTAGTGAATTTTAGCGTTGACAAGCCTTTCAGAAACCGGGCGTTAGTTTAAACTCAATTTTAATTGGTATTTATTTGCTTAGATTCTGTTTTTTTATAACCAGGTAACAAAACTAGCCTTCTCTCGTCAGTTTGTGGCCAAAATATGGTGACGAGGGACAAGTTGGAGAGTCCCCTCACTCATAGCAGTCCACACCAATGCAACGAGTGTCTCCTGATCTTCAAAAATAGACGGGCCCTAGTTGCCCACAGCACCAGTCACCATCTCAAGTCCACGTCCAGTTAAATAAAGTCGATTTTTACAATTATACTACTACGCAGAAGTGTTTTGTTTTATTTTTCAAAGCGTTTGCGAGGCATCAGCTCGTGTCAGAATTAGGGCAGGTTCAAGCTACTTAGCCTGATTTTTCAATGGTTAGATAAAAGTTATCTGGGGAATAATTATGATGCTGTCGCGTCAGAATGTTTGTGTAAGACAGTGATAGCAATAATTTTATTCCTCAGATAACATTTATCTGACTATTGAAACAGTCCTTAAAGAAATAAATAATTGAATTGAAAAATCTGCCCCAAGACGTCATAGTATTTTAGCGTCAAATAGTATATTTATATACATATGGCATACTATGCATAGCATGCTATACCAGCTATTAAGTATATCGAAAAAATAATGATGGGAGAGCCATGCTTCGGCAAGAATGGGTCGGCTCGACCGGAGTGATACCACGGCCTCACAGAAAACCGGCGTGAAACAACCACAGCGTTGTGTTTGCCGTGTGAGTGAGGTTACCGGAGGCCCAATACTTCCCCTCCCCGGATCCTTCCCCAATCCCTAAATCTCCAAATCCCTACTCCCTAAAAGGTCGGCAACGCACTCGTAACTCCTCCGTTGCGGGTGTCCATGGGCGGCGCTGATTGCTTACCATCGGGATATCCGTCTGCTCGTTTGCCGACATATTACATAAAAAAATGGTGTGTATATTTTTGTTCACATGAATTCTTTTTTACTGAGGAATCTAATTGTATTGTTTATACAATTAACTGGCCCGTTTTTAATAGGTAAATTTTGATACGCAATACAAGCTCTCTTTTTTTGGGCAGTCGTGTAAAAAAATACAAAATTCTCTTACGGAACTTCTTTATTAGTTTGCTATTTATTTGTAAATAAATTACACATTCTTGGGACTAATGTGAACAGCGTAAATATCTACGCGAATTTTGAGCATTGCTTTCGAAGTGGTGGCGGTGGCATCCTTAGAGATGCCACGAAACTCTTGGTGCTTGATAGCTCTTTCCGAAGACGTATTATGTCCAACTCAGCTTGACGCTTACGCTGAAAACAGAAGACAGACTTAAATGAGTCACTGTGTACATGTGAACATTAGCTCATGACGATACCAGCGTCCGTGTCACTGGACAGTGAACCTCGCTACCATCAGTTGACTGAACATCTACACTACACGAGTCACTGTGTACATGTGAACATTAGCTCATGACGATACCAGCGTCCGTGTCACTGGACAGTGAACCTCGCTACCATCAGTTGACTGGACATCTACACTACACGAGTCACTGTTTACATGTGAACATTAGCTCATGACGATACCAGCGTCCGTGACACTGGACAGTGAACCTCGCTACCATCAGTTGACTGGACATCTACACTACACGAGTCACTGTTTACATGTGAACATTAGCTCATGACGATACCAGCGTCCGTGACACTGGACAGTGAACCTCGCTACCATCAGTTGACTGGACATCTACACTACACGAGTCACTGTTTACATGTGAACATTAGCTCATGGCGATACCAGCGTCCGTGTCAGTGGATAGTGAACCTCGCTACCATCAGTTAACTGGACAATCTCCACACTACAGAGTCACTGTTTACATGTGAACATTAGCTCATGACGATACCAGCGTCCGTGTCACTGGACAGTGAACCTCGCTACCATCAGTTGACTGGACATCTACACTACACGAGTCACTGGTTACATGTGAACATTAGCTCATGACGATACCAGCGTCCGTGTCACTGGACAGTGAACCTCGCTACCATCAGTTGACTGGACATCTACACTACACGAGGCACTGTTTACATGTGAACATTAGCTCATGACGATACCAGCGTCCGTGTCACTGGACAGTGAACCTCGCTACCATCAGTTGCCGCACAACGTGTCGCGGCTGCACTCTTTGTGTGATCCACAAATTGTTGCTCCGGGTCTGGGTGTGATGTGTGTGTCTAATTGTATGTTTGTAAACGCACCCACGACACATATAACAATAGGGATGATGGCTAAAAAATAATAATTAGTCCATCTTTTAGAACGCCAGAAAATAGTAGACACGTATTTTTTCTTTTGCTTCTAAAACTTAAAATAACAAAGTTACAGAGCCGCGAAAGTTCGCGCTACGTCATTATTTCGTAAAATTTTTACGAAATAGTGACGTCACGAGCCCCTACTCCTGAATTTAAATCTGCAGTATCTTTGTCAATATTATTCGTGTGGACAAAAAAAAATACGTATCGAGTATTTATCTATAATCTAACTGACGGACTAATTAGAATCTTGTTGTTTTAACCCAGGAGACATCCCTATTCTAGTATTTAGAAACTTCCTTTTTTTCAAAAGAGAAAAGATAGGTACTAGACGGATTTGAATAAAATTGGCATAGATAGATTATAATCCGGAAAAACACGGGCTATTTTTTACCTTGGTAGGTATAGGTACTACGAGCGAAGCTGTTGAAAGAAACTCTAGTTAAATATGTTTAAATCTGCTTACCTTCAACTCGTTAGCAAGTCGTGCCTCAACTTGAGCGACGCGTTGTCTCAATTCAGCGATATCCCGCATCAGACGAGCGGCAGCCAACTTATTATCAGCCTGAAAAAAATCAATATGATCAATGCCGTCTTATTCATATTTTTACTATCGTGCAAAGTAATAGCCAGCAGCCTTCTTTGATATAAGGGCTGTCATAAGCAAAAAGAATGATCAAAATCGGACTTGCAATTCCAGAGATATGAAAACTCAAACGAGAAAACAAAACAACATGCAAATTGATATAGGTACTTAATTATTATTTTGTCTTTAGGACAAATTTTTTGAGTTTATTTTTAGATCATTTTACTGCTTTTCAATTACTTGTCAAGTCGATTCTTAAAAAAGTGTTTTTGGTAAGGGCCTTATGGGTCACGGATTTCAGAAGTGTTATTTTTCCGCGTTGGGCAAACTAGGAACTAAAATTTCGTATTTCTCCGTTTTTTGAAAATCTCCATAGATAAACTACTTAGTTTGTTGTAAGTAGTTTTAATTAGAGCACGGTAGGTGCCTCCACCCTCATGTTACCTCACCTTTTTTTGGCGAAATACATTAAGGCCTTGACTGCCGACAGAAAACTGTTGAAGGCAAATCCTCCGCTAACGGAGGTCACCGGTGACCCCCATGGCGTTAAACGTGTTAAATGCTGCTCTCGACCTCGGTGGGTTGAGACTTGAGTAATCAGACTAAAACCGCCCTGTTCCTTCTGCTGCTGCGGGTACATAATTGCACTTGCACTAACAGCCACGGCTGACATCGGCCCCATATTTTCGAAGTGGATTTGGGAGATCCACCATCGTGGCCATGCTCTATAATTGCTTATGTCTTAATAAATTAAATGATTTTTCTTCCTTTTTATGATCACATAATAGTCTAGGATAATAAAGGATCTGTGTTTCTTGATTACCAAAAGGAAGGTCCAGTTCCCATGGATTAAAACAATATAAAACAATAATATCATAAAGAAAGCGTGCTCAAACAGTTCTAGGAATGATATGCAATTGACAATTGACACGGAACCTGGGCCTTTTGTCTATAACCCTAGAACTCACATTTCTAGACGGTGCATTTTTAGCAACACTCCTACTGACCACGTTTGGTAAATCGGCAACAGAGCACTGGCTGAACATGCTATCTGAGACCGAGCATTTGGTCACCACTCCTTGGATTGCCTGGAGGATCAAAAAGAAAAAGAAATTAGGTACATATTTATTGGGCAGTATAAAGTAAAGTGTGCGAGGGCCATGCTTCGGCAAGAATGGGTCGGCTCGACCGTAGTGATACCACGGCCTCACAGAAAACCAGCGTGAAACATCCACAGCGTTGTGTTTCGCCATGTAAGTAAGGTTACCGGAGACCCAACCCTTCCCCTCCCCCAATCCCTCCTCAATTCCTTAATCTTCAAATCCCTAATCCCTAATAGGTCGGCAACGCACTCGTAACTCCTCTGTTGTCCATGGGCAGCGCTGATTGCTTACCATCAGGTAAACCATCTGCTCGTTTGCCGACCAATTACATAAAAAAACGGCACGATTGGGCTGGTTCGATCGAAGTGATATTATAGCCTCACAGAAAACCGAAGAAAGCAACACTCACGTTGTGTTTCGTCGTGTGAGTAAGGTTACTGGACACCCAATCCTTCTCGCCCCATCCTCAATCCTTATCCTATCCTATCCCCTATCCTTAAATCCCTAATACCCCACAAGAGGTCGGTAACGCGCTTGTAGTACCAACCTCCTTTGGTATTACGAGTATCCATGCGCGGCGCTGATTGCTTAGCACCAGGTAATCCTAAATAAAAAAAACATAAGTGCCTACTACAGAGCAAAGGTCTCTTTCAAGGAGTTGGTATGAGCATTAATCACGAAGCTAGCTTGTTGCAAGGCGCATCGGAGGAAACAGTATGCATATGTGAGCGCCATGTTTGAGACGATAAAGGATTGAAAATTAAATGGTGACGAATTGATCCCATCGTTGGTTTTTTTCAAGTTGTTTTCTGCTTTGTTCTCACATAATTATGTGAGACAGTGGTTTATATTAAATAAAGTAATAAGGAACTTGTAAAACAATATTTTAAAAAGGTTTAAATATGGAGTTTCTTGGTTGTTCTTCTCCATTCGAATATAGAGTTTGGAACAAGCAAATACTTTCTCCGACGAACATACTTACTGAAAGACTATTGCTTAGTTGAAATAGATGATTTTGACATTGAAGCTTTGATCGAAGTATGAAATCGAAAAATCCTTGCTTAGTAGATGGTAGCAAACATCAGTTATAAACAGGAGGCTAATAGACCAGCAGTGGAACTTTACAGGCTGTTATTGATGATGATGAAGACCCCTCACCTGAGCGACAGCAGTCCTGGCATGCTGCAGATGATGAGCTTCCTCCTTCTCCAAATGTCTCTTCAGGTGCTCTATCTCAGAGACTATGTTAAACTTTTCCTTCTCAAGTCTTTGGTTGGCCTGCTTCAGAGCCTGCAATATCCCAAACTTTGATATCATTCATTCATATATGCATCCCAAAAAAAGATGGCAATAAAATTGATTTCGTAAATCGGTTGGATTGCGGTAGGAAGGCATGTTCTCTCATTGCGATTCGTTTGAAGTAATACTTCGGTCTCAGAAAATTTGCGTCAAACTGCGCTTACCCACAAATATAATAAACTTTCCGTTAAAAGGAAACAAGATCTCACACTGACTTACGAAAAATCCGAGTGAGATGTTATCGAAAATCCAATTATTTTCCAAATTCATCCTCAAATTTCTTACGAAGGAAAGAAAAGGCCATTGGCGATGCTTACCAACAGACGGTCTATCTGCTAATTTGATGGCTTATCCCATACAAAAAAAGTTATTTAGGATCTGTTTCCCTGGATTAGGTAAACGAAGAATCTAGATACTTACTTTCATTCGTTCTTTCTTCTCCAAATGGCACTCATCGATCCTTCTCTTCAATTTTCTTCTCAGTTCATCCAGAAGATTTGAAAGAGTGACTCGATTCGATTCTAGATCAGCTCGCTGTTGCACAATCTGGTTTATCGAAGTCAATAGTTTGATTCCTGTACAAAGAAATACCATCAGTTGACTGGACATCTACACTACACGAGTCACTGTTTACATGTGAACATTAGCTCATGGCGATACCAGCGTCCGTGTCACTGGACGGTGAACCTCGCTACCATCAGTTGACTGGACATCTACACTACACGACTCACTGTTTACATGTGAACATTAGCTCATGGCGATACCAGCGTCCGTGTCACTGGACAGTGAACCTCGCTACCATCAGTTGACTGGACATCTACACTACACGACTCACTGTTTACATGTGAACATTAGCTCATGGCGATACCAGCGTCCGTGTCACTGGACAGTGAACCTCGCTACCATCAGTTGACTGGACATCTACACTACACGACTCACTGTTTACATGTGAACATTAGCTCATGGCGATACCAGCGTCCGTGTCTCTGGACAGTGAACCTCGCTACCATCAGTTGGCTGGACATCTACACTACACGAGTCACTGTTTACATGTGAACATTAGCTCATGACCATACCAGCGTCCGTGTCACTGGACAGTGAACCTCGCTGCCATCAGTTGACTGGCCAATACATACGCTGTTCATTGTGGCGATATCTCTGGGCCGCCGGCTGGAAGCTGAAGGCCTCTGGGCTTGGAGCTCCAGAATCCTGCCCAGGGTACGACTGAGAGCTCACATAGTTTGGTGAATCCGTGGAATCCTGGATACAAGGTAATTGGGCGTTTAATACTTGACTTATTTTATTGTATTTCAATTTTGTAACACATCGAGCTGGGCCCTGATTGACTGACTGGGACTGACTCGTTATATCCCAATGTTCTTCCTTACTTTTCTAAAATATTTTTTTATAAGAACCTTCTACTGACATTGAGAAGGCCCTTAAAAAAGCAACCAAACAAAAAAAATTAGGTTATGCCTTCCCTTGTCAACATATATTCAATTTTTTTTAATATGAACAGATTATCGGCTTGTGTTAAAGTTTTGACCAGTTAGCAGAATTGACAGAAAAAGAGGCGAGAGGCACAAGGGCCCTTCCCTCCCTTACCATCGCCCTAATCGTATGTACTCGTCAAATGAAAAAATAACTTGAAAAAAAAATAATCCAAAAAATGTATGCACTATTTTGCCCATTCATATTTGACTCATTTGGTGATGGAGAGCGAGGTCTCGTAGCGCAGGTATTCCATGTCATTATTATACTTAAAGATGTCGCATTCATTCCAAACTTTCACAACCCATTTAAGCAAACCCTAAATCAAAGTAAAAACGATTGTGTAAGTTTATTTTTATCGTGTGTTTAATTCGAATAGGTACTTACGATTGATAGCGTATCACTGCAATGCGGAAACATAAGTTTCAAGATTTCCATGAACATATTTACAAAAAACCTATTTATTCTTTTTATTCCAAAATAAATATTTTATGCTTTTGTGAAAAATTAAACTCACGTATTTGTCCCGATCACCGTAAGAGTTTTGAGAAAATCTCTGTGTATTTATTCTTTACAACGAAAAGGAACAGATTATCGAAGTGCCATCGAATACCATGTAAGTGTGAGAAAGCCAAGCTTCGGCACGAATGGATCGGCTCGAGCGAAGCGATACCAGAAAACCGGTGTGAAACAACCATAGCGTTGAGTTTCGCCGTGTGAGTGAGGTTACCGCAGCCCTATTCTACCACTCCCCAATCCTTAAATATGCAAAACCCTTATCCCCAAAAGGTTGGACAACATACTTGTAACTCCTTTGGTGTTGCAGGTGTCCAAGGACAGCGCCGATTGCTTGCCATTAGGTAATCTGTAAGCTCGTTTGCCGACCTAACACATAAAAAAAAACTTTTTTAATCCCCTCTGTGGTTCGAAACTAGTAGAGCTTCTCCCAATATTATACACGTGAGTAACACGCGATAGCAATTTTTGCCAAAAACCAAAATTTAAGACGCAAAACTACCACGCTTGAACTCACTCTAGATATTACTGAAAAACCTAGACTTTTCTTCCTTTTAGGTAGACTTAGTCCTGTATTTTAAGATATCTATAGCCAAAATCAATACTTTTCAGCGAAAAAAGAAATGAAATTGTGAAAAATATGTATCTGCAATACTGCTTTAGGATTCCGTGGTGAGATTTTTTTATTCAATACTAGCTACTCTCGCGCGTTTTCACTCGCTGCTCGGCTCCATTTAATTGTAGCGTGATGTTTTATAGCCTATAGCACTCAGGAACATTGTAGCTATCTATCAGTGACAGAATTTTGGCAATCCAACCAGCGGTTCCAAAGATTACCCCCTACATACTTACAAACTTACAAATTTTACCTCTTTATAATATTAGTATAGAAAGTATAGAGGATCCTTGCTTATGATTTTGGGCTTGACTTACTTAGATCATTTTGGAACGAGCAAGCTTAACTATAGAACTGAAATAATGAATTTCAGTAGTGATTCATTGATTTCAGTCTTCATCTTATAAACTGATTTCAGAAGTGATTTCGTAAATATTGTTTTCGGAATAGCTCTGCTGGCCGACAGACTGACACTTTTTGTATTTGTATATTTGACTTTCAAATACTCCCTAAGGTCATGGTGATTAATTACCCGACTGCAATATTGGTGCAGTGGCTGGGCAACTAGTTGCCGTTCAACGCGTCGTGGGTTTGATTCCCGCACGGAACAACACTTTGTGTGATCCACATGTTGTGGTTTCGGGTTAGGGTGGCTTGTGTATGTTAAGTTGTATGTTTGCAATCACACCCATGACACAAGAGAAAATCCTAGTGTGAATGAAAAAATATTGAAATAAATTGATGACTTAATAATCTTAAAAACTTCATAAATATAACTCGGAAAATGTCACATCGATACTTGTCAGGTTTCGAACACGCACCCTGAAGCATGAGTAGCGGGCATCTTAACCTCAAAGCCACCACGACATTAGCCACAATAGCAAATTTGTTTTTTCTTCTCCCGCTCAGGGTAAGGCGAGAGAGAGTGTCAGACTCTTACTGACTTCAAATCACCCCGTTCCTTCTCCTGCTTTAGGCCGACGCCGCGGTGCCTTATTGCACTTACCCCCGGCTATAGCAATTTTGGCTAAAAATAACTTTCATTTATACAGAACCCTAAGTTTGCGAGCGATCTGTTTTTTAGAGTTCTCAAAGTTGCGTGTTATCATGCAAAGGGATCATTATTTTAATATATATAGTCTGTGGTACTGTCTCTTTTGAATGTAGAGCGATTGGCTATGGTAAGTAGGTCAAGGAGGTTTGATTTGAACTGTGAAATCGGGACATTCTTTAGTTATTTGTAATTTGTATTGATTTATGTTTAAGAAACAAATTGTGACTTGCCTTTTAAGAAGGGGTTATTTTTCTGAGTTCGGGTGAAAACCATCGCACTTAGGACCTAGGTTAAGTTTATAAAAGCACGTTATAGGGTTCGGAAATATTATATGTATACTTAGTTTGCGTGTTTCACCTAAGACCCCATCATTGCTTTCCATCAGGCTTAATAGAGGCCAAACCCATTAAAATAACTAATAAAAAAATTTAGACTCATATAACACAGGGTTTGATAATTAGTCCAAACGCAGGGTTAAGAAATAAAAGTTCGTATAATCAAAGAAAACAGATAGACACAACAATAACTTAATCCTAACAAGAAAAAAATACAATCACTCAAAGCGGAGCACCGCGGAGGAAAATAATAATATTATGCGTCCGAATCACGCGGCGGTCGGGACTCTCTTGCGCGAGCGAGTTGCGCGTCACGGGTTGCCGCGGCGCGATGCCGGCGGGGTGAGGGGCGCGGGAGTCGCGGGCGCGGGGATGCGGCCGCGTTTCGTTAGCTGCGCGGCGCGATCGTAGAAATTTTAAATACCCCGCGCTACAGTCTCCCCCTCTAGTCCAGCTAACGTGCCCTCACAGCTGGACTAGTCTAGATACCTGCGCGGCCTACCACGCTTACGTTTTTCGCGGACCGGTGGTTCTACTTGACCGTTATAAGGCGTCAGGTTCGAGACGTGGAACCTCCCAACGTCCCCTCCAGTCTGGACGTTTTCTAGACTATAGGTAGTGGGGCTTACAATCCTCCCAATCCTGTAAGGGCCGTCACGACGCGGGATGAACTTTGCGGTCTGTCCGCGGCCCGCATCGTTTGGTCCCTGTGTCTTGAGCAAGACGAGGTCACCTACCTTGTAGTCTGGTGGTGGCCTCCGCTTCTTGTCGGCATACTCCTTCTGAGCGGCTTGAGCCTCCTCGTGAGTGTCTCTGGCCTGATCCAGGGTCGCTGCCATCTGTTTTAGGTAAGGAGTAATGCTGGGTATGAAATTATCACTCTCCACGACAGCCCTCATGTCTGTCGCAGAGTCGGAGGGAGCTCGCAGTTCCCTCCCGAAAGTGAGGTATGCCGGCGAAAATCCGGTGCTGCTAGTGACGGCGGAGTTCATTGCGAACCTGACAGCAGCCAGATGCAGATCCCAGGTCGCATGGTCCGCGCCGACAAGTATTGCCAGCTGGGATTTGAGGTCCCGGTTCTTTCGCTCTATCGGATTAGCCTCCGGGTGATAGAAGGGTGCGAGTGCCTGGCTGATTCCTAGGACATGACACACTTGTTGCATCACCTCGCTCACGAACTGAACACCGTTGTCGCTAATGAGGCGGCGTGGGACTCCATACCTTAAAAACACCTCGTTAGCCAACGTCTGTGCACACTCGACGCTGGTGGCGCTCTCTAGCGGGAATAGCTCGACCCATCGTGAGCAAACGTCTTCCGCGATTAATACCCACCTGTTCTTGCGCGGCGTCTCGACTAAGGGACCAAACAAGTCCACCGAAACTACCTCGAATCTCCGTGCCATGGCAGGGGTTTGGAGCAACCCTGCTGGTTTACGGTTGTCGACCCTGTACCGTTGACATGGTACACACTCCTTGATGTAGCTGGTCACGAATGCCCTCATGCCAGGCCAATAGTACCTGGCCCGGACACGGCTCAAGGTGCGCTCTACTCCGAAGTGACCGGCCGTAGGCGCGTCGTGAAGGTCAACCAACACTTGCTTGCGCTCCTGCTCCGGAATAACCAAACAGCAGTTTTCTTCGTCGTCTGACTCTAAACTGTACCTATAAAGGATTCCATCAGACATGACGTAACCCCGATCTGACCATGGTCTCCCCCTAGAGGGTTCGTCGGACTCCATGTCCTCGATGATTTTACGAACCTCTGGATCCAGGAGCTGATTGCTGCGGACATCAGCGCCGCTTCTTTTCGGCATGTCAACAATAGTCGTGCGTAGTTCGCATTCATCAGAGTCGTCTGAACAAACGGGTCACGACAGCGTGTCCGCCACCACATTCGAACGACCGGGAGTATACTCGATAACAAGGTCGTACTCTTGTAACGTTAGGGCCCACCTTGCTAGTCGACCGCTGGGCGACCTTTGACTCATCAGCCACCGTAGGGGTTGGTGGTCCGTCCTAACTACAATCCTCGCGGCCTCAACGTACCCGCGGAACTTACCAAGTGCCCATACGACAGCAAGGGCCTCGCGCTCGGTCGTGGAGTAATTTCTCTCGGCGCTGGTGAGAAGTCGGCTCGCATATTCAATCGGCCTTTCGTCTTGGCCCTCCCCCTGCATAAGAACTGCTCCAAGGCAATACGCACTACTGTCAGTGCAGAGTACGTAAGGCTTTGATTCATCAGCCTGGCGCAGTATGGGAGCGGTCACAAGAAGAGACTTGATGCGCTCGAAGGCCTCCTGTTGCTCGGCGTCCCATCGCCAGACACTGGACTTCTTCAGCAGGTTCGTGAGAGGTCTCGCGATTTCTGCATAATTATTAATAAATCGTCGGTACCAACTCGACGTCTGCAAAAAACATTTCAACTGCTTAACGTTCCTAGGGGCAGCCATGTTATCGATAGCTGCCGTTTTATCCGGATTTACCTGGATACCGCCTGGCACGATAATGTGCCCCAGAAACGGAACAGACTCCTTGGCAAAGAAACTCTTGTCTCTATTTACCCTTAACTTAAACATGGCTAGCCGATCGAAGACGACCTCCAGATCTGCCAGGTGCCTCTCGAAGGGTCCAGGCGACAACAGGATCAGATCGTCTAAATAACACAACAGCTCAACCCCCTTTAGGTTGGAGCGGAAACGGTCCATTAACCTTTGAAAAGTTGCCCCGGAATTCCGTAGGCCCATTGGCATTCGTTTAAATCTGAATGTCCCAAGCGGCGTCGTGAAGGCCGTTTTGTCCTGGTCTTCTGCGCAGACACTCACTTGATGGTACCCGGAACGAAGATCTAACGTGGTCATATACTCACTGGTCTTGGCAGCATGCAAGACATCCTCAATGCGTGGTAGCGGGTATCGGTCTGGCT